CTCTTCTTATGTGTGTGTGTGTGTGTGTGTGTGTGTGTGTGTGTGTGCGCGCGTGTGCTGTGCGTGCGCTGTCTGTCTGCTACCACGATCAACAACAAGAGACTCCTTAAGATTTTAGATACAGACGTCCAACCTATGCTTCATACCTGCCTTCCACCTGCGCTTACTGGCGTAGCAACCGAATGCCATCACCCCAAGACGCCTTGCCCTGCCCCCTTCTAGCCATGGCAACCAACGTAGTTAATGGAAAGTGCATGTCTGATTCGCATGACGACCCCGTCATGGATTGTGGCCTCGCTCTTGACTCTCCGATGGCAACCAGCCCACTGATTGGAAAGTCCATACACCATTTGCATGACATATCTGTCACGGGATTCCGGGTTACTCTTTCTTCAACATCGTTCTTCTTTGCTAGAAACGCATTCATGCTCCTACTACTTATCTAGGTCAGCGTCGCCGCTACCTCTTCCTCGGATACTGCCTCCGGCCCCGAACCGCCGTCATCGTCACCGTCTGTCACCGTCAGATCGAGATCCAGACCAGCGACTGTAGACCAGGCATCAGCGGCCACAGCAATGTTGTTTGCGTGCGGGGGAAGTCGAGCATTGACTCGTAATTCCTGCGTTCTTCGGGCGATCTCGTTATCCGCAGCTAGAGTCCGACGCTTTCATGCTCTCCACTATTTCACATGTTCTCGTCTTTGAAAATCGTTCAGATGGAAGTCCTCCAGGTCGTGACCGTATGAGAAATCCCATCCGATACAGCTGCCATTCGGCTTGCGTGAATTTTTCACTGCTGCACAGCTGAAGCATTTTGACAGTTTCCGTGGCTGAGGTCCTGTCAGACAACGATGAGGTTGCTCCAAGCTGCGTTCGTGGTGCCTGTGGTGGCTTCATCGAACAGCGCACGGAGCTCGACGGAGGTTGGTGGTAGGGTATCGGTCAAGCCGTAGATAGCAAATCGATCGCTGACTGTGAAGGTGTGCTTGTCTAGCCATTCAACAGCGAGGGACGTCTTGTATTGCTCAGCCCCAAGCGCCGTGGCGGCGAAGGCTAGGGAGCGAGATGGTCCCGATAGCGTACTTGGGCGTCGAGAGGTATCGAATTCTTCTATCTCAATCTTATTGCAGCCCTGGCAGCGTGAAAGGGGACATGGGGATGATGAGGCCTTCGCAGGCAGATAGAAGATCAAATCAAGTGGCACAAGGTCCGCGCTACCAAGAACGCAACGAGGGGAATGAATGAGTGAGAGGCCACGACGCTGCGCGGGAGCAGTCCACGAAGATGGGACTATGTGTCGTGCTCATAGGCGTGTTAGCTGGTCGTATCAGTAGAAAGCAGTACACTGTACTATGCAACTACAACGGCGAGTAGAAAAGGAAGACGAATTCTCGCCGCAGCGAGAGACGGAGAGCGCTCCGCAAAGCCGTACCGGCACGACTGTGGAGGAGGGATCGGACAAGATGGGCGCAGGAGATGAGAAGTTAGTAGCAGCGCAGGGAGGAGGAGGTTATCCTCTGCCGCTCTGCCCTATTGCTGCGGCTTTTGTTCTCTCTCTTGACTGGAATCAAGAAGAAGATTCTTGTCCGCATCGATCGAATGACGGGAGTGCTGAGCTAAGAGATTCGCCCTCATTTCCGTCGTGTGAGGAGAAGATGATGGAGCATCGCGAGTCATTGTCATCATCATGGATGAATGACTCTATGCTGCTGTTGTCATCTGGTCTCATTTCGCCAAGGAGGTGCTGCAGCGTGGAAGCGGCTTTGTCGCCCTGACTTGTGATGGGTGGTAGAGAGGCGAGCTGCAGAAGAATAAGTGGTATAAATTGTCGTCGTTGTCCTCGCGGTGTCTCGCTTCAGCTTCAGCGACTTGCTGCAACCGATCCTTAGTGCGTCGTCTATCGCGATTGAACCGCTGACACTCACACAGGTGCTTGCTGCCTGTGGCTCTCGGAAGTGGCCAAATGTTTGCTGCATCGCTGCAACAAGACTGAAAAACACATGGCTCTTTATCAGGCCGTGCACCTAGGTTGTTTCGTTCGCTGCTCGTCGTGAAAAGCATGTGGGGAAAGGACAGGACGAAGAGCATGTTGAATTGCTGGGATGAAGTGTTCGCTTGTGGCCAACGTAGATATCTTCCATCCCGCATCGCTTCGTCACGATCCTCGCTGGGCGATCCGAGGGTGGTTGCTTCTTTCTGCACAAGATCATTCCAAGCCGCCGGCTGGTTGGCGTTCGCATGTTCACGTGCTGCGGTCCACATCTTGCAGATCCCTTCGGCTCTTGTGCTTTCCGTCGTTGTTATCCAGTCCGTCAGTGTTATTGAACCCATCTGCCTCAGGTGGCCTTCATCAACTCTTGCGACGCAGCCAGTGTCGCGGACGCCGTGTACTCGATCTCGAGGTCCACGCCATCTGTTTGGATTTGGGCGCGTCCTGCTTGAAAGGAACGGGCACGCCTTTCATACAAGACTTACTCTGCCAGCCAAGATTTGCTCCTCCTCGGGGTCGCAACGTAAGCCAGAAGCACAGCCAGACGCGTATGCCACGAGACTCGAGAAGGATGTACGTGCAGTCCCATCATCGCCTCGTCCGGGCATGTTGAGAGAGCTACCCTTCGATAACCACGCTGGCACACTACTATGAGCTGCAACAACCGGCACAGGCTCAGCTGCATCTGAAAATCGTGCGGACTTTGGCCATGATGGTTCGGAGATTGATATGTTGCCTGTTCGCCAACACAGCCCTCCCGATCAACTCTCCCGACACTCACTGTGGCATTTTCCCTTCCGCCGCCCTTGCCATCTGCCAATGTGCACCCCACGGACGAATAGCTGTGCAGGACAAGGTCGCTGCGGGGGACATGAGGGCGCCGAGCTGCCAATTGACGGATAAGGAGTGGTGGAGACGCTGGGCTGCTCCGGCTACAGACGGGGCGCAAGATGAGGACGGCGGGCAGAAGGTGCGAGATGAAATCAGAAGGTTTAGAAGTTGAAACGGGCTCAATCCCGTCCGCAGTTGTAGTAAACCTGGTAATAATCGAGGATACAGACTGATGGGAGAGCTGCTGATGGGGATGGGAGCACAGCCGTGCAGCAGATGAGTGTGCCAAGCTGCTGTTCTGGTGAACTTCGTACTGGTTACGTCTGCCAAGCTCATCATACTCGACCGTAAATCTCGGTGAAGTTCAACACTGACGTAGGCCAAGCTCTTATCTTACCAGCAATCTCGGTCAACTGCTACGATGATGTAAGCCATTGCTCTACTTCACCGAGACTCTTGGCCAACTTCGAAGCCCACCGAGCTGGAGCTTCTCTACGATAATCAAGCTCGGTGAAGCTCTCTCTTGCCACAACCGACACTTCTTCCATGTTACCAACAATCACGGCATTCCATGGATCGTGTAGTCGCAGCACAGATTGCGGTCCTGCGTGCTGCGCTCGATCCTCTGTCCCGCCTGCAGGCCTTCACGGTACTGTGCGAAACATTCAAGAGCGTGCCTGGATGGCAGGCGAACTCGCCCCAACGCTGGGAGCGACTGGACGAGCAGCTGGACAATAAAACTTTGGCGGCCGTGGCAGCCGACGCGGAGCTGATTGCGAGAGGGGAGGGTCAGCGCAGTACCGCCGCGGGCACCGATGCGGTCGGGCGTTTGCGCAACTGCATCTCCACGTGGTCGCTCCAAGCGCACGACATCATTCGCGACTTGGGACTCGAGGCCATCCACAGCGGCAACTTCATGCGCGCCTGCGCCGCGCAGACGCTGCTCGACACCGACGGCGAGCGCGTGCCCTGGCTGACATTCGCGCGTGCGGTGCTGCACGAGGCACAACAACGCCACCTCCATCGTCCCGGCCGCGGAAAGAGTCGCACCCGACCATTCTTGCCCAGCGACGTCAAAAACGCCATCGCGAACTTGCAGCAGGCGCGTCTGGTCACCACCGTCGTTTCTGCGGTCCGCAGCACCGATTCCCCTCGCAGCGGCAGGATGAAACGCAAGGCCTCGCCCAACGGCACCGACCCCTCCGCTTCGCAGCCCGCAAAGAAGCCTCGACCGGCGGCGACAGATGGCGGCCACGAGCTGGAGGAGCATCGCGAATCCACTCTCCCCCTTCACGACACCTACGACTCCGACTCGGGCGACGACCAGCGCGAGCCCGAACATGGCGCCGCGTCGCCCCTTTCGCCACCGCCGATCTTTGTCCCTCCTAAGCCTTCACCTCCGTCCATGACTGTGCGCTCGCCAGATCAGTTCGGATTCACCTTCCGCCGCCTCAGAGACCGCCGCGGCTTCCGCCCCACCGGCGCCGGGCTGATTTCAGCGAAGGGTCACGCGACACCTGATGCGCTGAAAGCTCGCTCCAAGGACGTGGACGACTTGCCTTTACTCAACGCTCCTGAGAATCGGATCACGGCGGACGATGGTGCTACTGAGCTGCATGCCAACGATGACGGCGAGGCGGACGATGGTGCAACTGAGCTGCACGTCAACGATCACGGCGAGGAAGGAGACGTGCCAGCCACTCGACCCCCTATTGACCGTTCGCCCGCTTCAGCCACGAATGTTCTCCAACACGATGAAGTCGCGGCCGAGACACAGTCTGGAGAAGAAGATTGGGAGGACGTGGACGGAGACGAAGGTTGCACAGACAACCAAGACGAGAACGAGGAGGACGCGGAAAGCGAGTCTGCGGAGAGCGCCGACGGAGACCATACAGAAATATCTGTCGAACATGGTCGCTGCGCTGCGCCGACAGAGGATGATGACAGCTCGCTCTTGAAAAACATTCATGGGTCGTTCCTGGAAAGCGCTGCTGATGCGGTGTCCCACTTGGAGCTCGATTCTCACAGCACAACAGAAATTGGGCAAGAGGTCATGTCTCCGACTGCCTCCGAAGCTGCCATGACCGAGCAGGAGAGCTTCGTCGTTCCAGGTCAAGACCAGCCCTGTACACCACTGTCTCCCACACCTTGGAGTTTTGGTACAGTGACAACACCACAGTCGGCAGTCGCCATGGACAAGATGTCTGCTGTACCGGACATGGACATGCGAGCATTGATTGCACAGATTCTCGAAACCAACGTCTCCACCAACGAAGAGCCGCCCAGCTCTACTGCCAATAGTATGATGGCTTTCTTGCAGCCTGGCAGGTGGTTGTCCATCACGACCGTGTCCAACTTTATTTCCGCTCTGAACCCCGATTCAAGCAGCCGGCTCGTGCTAGAGAATGGGTTCCTGAGATTCGACGCAGACGGAGCAGCGCACAACGCAAAGCAAGGCCGCCAATGCGCGCAACGTCGCCAGCAATCCGTCATCTACGGTCTTCTGAACCACAACTCCCACTACATGATCGCGATTCTGGACCGCAATTCGAAAACCATCGAGCTGTACGACTCCCTCCACCCTCGACCCATCTCCACAGTTCGTCGAGCTGTGCTCGAGTTCGCAAGCGGTTTCCATACGACAGGCTCGGGCTCCAAGGAGTGGCAGATTGTCGCAGCTCCGGGCTTGCGCCAGGGCAACGGGTACGACTGTGGGGTGTATGCCGCTGCCCGAGTCATCTTTCATATGCACGAGAGGCTTTGTCCTGAGTACATCATTCCCGAGGTGTGGCGACGAGCAATGTCATTGATGTCCACGGTGCATGAGCCCAGCTCTGCCGTCGGAGACGAAATCTTTGCGCCATCATGGACTGCAGAGCGCCTTGCCCATCATTTCGGACTGGACCTCGAGCGAGGGCAGGATGGCCGCCTGACATGGCCGTGCACACCGCGCTCGACGCAACAAGACTTGGAGACCACTTCCAAGTTGTATACAATTCGCCGCTGTTTCGATGCGCTGGTCAGAGAGACGAGTTTGATCGTCGAGCAAGTGCAAGGCTCCGTCTCACTAGACAGCACACGCGCGCACCTCGACTGGCTCAAAGAAATGAAAGCAGGTCTTCTCTGTCGGGAACTGGCCCCAACGTTCCTCCGCCGGCAGCTCAGCAGCTTCGACGCCCAGATTGCAGAGCAAACGGCCCTGGCAGACAAGTTGGCGGCCCAGGACAGGACTCATCAAAACATGATGATTGAAGTGCTTCAAGCCGATGCTCGTACATATCGACAACTCTCCCAGGACGCTGAGAATAGTGCAGACTCACTGCTTCGCAAGGCAGAAGAAGAATACGTGGCAATAGGTGCTCGGATCAAAGCTCTGAGAGAGGCTCGGAAGTAAGTAGTCTTGAGCACATTCGGCAGGCTGTTTCAGCTGAGGAGGGCTTTTTCTCGTGACACCTTCACGGTTTCGATGATGCAGACGATGAAGTGGTTGATAATGATACGCTTGATGACTGATGTGAGGGTTCGCCATAGCTGATTTCCGCACGGATGGCGTTCGCCGTATGCGGACACTCACCACCAACTTGGTAGCAAGTATGGATCAACGTTAGCAATCATTTTCCTTGCACTCCCCTGTTCCCATCCCTCTCTCGCTGCCCGCTCGCAGTCGTTGCTCCGAGCCGAGGAGCGCTTTACTGACTTTTGAAAACAAACGCGACGGGAAGTGACAGCTGCTGACCTTGCGACTGAAGCAAACCTCCAGACTGCTGCCACTAACCACTTATATAGACCCCACCGCCGCCACTAGCACCATCGCCACTACCGCCACCATGGATGGCTGAAGCACCTGGCATCACTCTCACGCAGCAGGAAATCAACCGCAACCTGATCGAAAAGGCCAACTCCAGCTTGCGCGGAAGCGAGTCGGAAGCAACATTTCAAGAGAAGGATTTACTCTCTCAGAGCACCACATCATCGCCTTCGAGACGGTGCGTTGCCTTGGCAGGTTGTCAATCACCGTTTCGCGGCCGAGAGAAGTGCTTCAGCGTCTGTTGAACCAGATGTTATTCAGACCACTGCGATAGACAGAGGCAGAAAGCGCTCTTACGCTCCTCCCGAGACAGCCCGCCGCGCCGTACGGGATGAAGCGCGATCGATGGCAATCTCATGCGGAAAAGGACAAAGAACAAGTCCTTGCAAGCTAGCTTTGGAGTAATGAACATCTTGGCGAGCAGGGTGGTGGTGGTTGGTAGGCCGTACACTGCGTAGGATCACCGCAAAAAAGGAGTAGGAGGAGGAGTAGCAGGACAAGATAGGACAGGATAATGTGGTGTAAGTGGTCATTAACTGCGTCGTTCGTTCATCTTCGAGCATCTTTGCTCAGTCTAGTGCTTCTCATCAAGCGGTGCATGGCTTGGTCGAAGAAGTGAAGCATCCTTTCTCGGTAGACGAAAGAAATGGAAATACAGATGTCTGGAGGTATGGTGTCAGTTAGCGCTCGCCTCTGGGGGCGGAAGGAGACTTACACATTGGTACGGTCAACGAGGAAACTTACGCATTGGCACGGTCGACGAGCAAACAATCACCTCGATGGTACGCAGGAATGCGACTGGATGCCATACTAAGTTTCGAAGCTGCGAGCGTTGAACAGTCTTCCTTATTCAGTTGTGGCTGTTTGGACGCTTCGGGCAGTTTAGAGCTGCTTCGATCGGCACAATATCAACGCAACAATGTTACGCTTATGCAGTGTCGTTCCACGCATGGCGGTGGGCGATTTCCATGTTTGATTATTCAATTGATTGACTACATAACACGCGTTTCCAGCGTGCTGTAAGAACTCTTCCCTACCAAGAATCACGTGGTCAGGGTGGTTACGAAACTCGACAAACAAGCCGACGAGTGGTGATCCATGTAGACTCGCTCGACGTCAGGCGAAGAGAAGTTTGGGCCCTGAACATCCCGTTTCGGACTGACAAGCAGCAGATCGCACAGGCGACTGAAGATATTGCTTGGCAACTTCCGGCCATGTAACTATGCCCCAGCCTCCGGCCAACACGCAGTGTCATAGTCGACGTTGGCGTCAAAGTGTAAGTGCTTTCTCCTGTGATATTCGAGACCCAAGCTGAGACGATCAGTAGGTCGCCAGGAGGCCTGAAACCGTCAAAGCTCCTGAACCGTAGGTTGTGGAGTGTGCGAAGCCTGTCTGGGCCATACTACTAACTTTAACGCAATCAGTCAAGACTGTCGCGCCACCAGTCGCTGTTCCAGTCTGTGTTGGACAGATCCCATGACCATCCGCAATTATCGTGGGAAACGAGGAAACGTGCGGTCTTGATGGTGTACGAGGGGTAGTTCCATTGACTAGCATCTTGACAGAGTCTAGTTTGTGGCCTCTGAAATTTGATAGCAAACCGCATACCCCCGTGGCAGTGCCTGCTAGGTCCTTGCTGAGCGCAGAAGCCCTACTGAGAGACGTGATGGAGAGCAGAACATCTATATTCTCATTTTCTGCAGTTAGATAGTCCATGTCCAAGGAGCCGCTGGGAATACATGGATACTCGAAAGTGGATTGTTTCACTGTACGGGTACTACTAGACAGGAATTGGAACTTCACGAGATCACCCCAGCTGGCAGTGACATGGATTGGTTGGAAGACATCGTTGCCCTGAGCTTCGACTATAGTTGTTGTCAGTCTTGCAGCGTCAGCATAGGGCGCCGCCAGATCATAGTCATGATTGCTGAGTTCAATCTCCAGGGACACATCCACAGAAAATGAGGTAGACCGATCCCCTCCCTTGTATCGGGGGCCGACACCGCTGCTAGCGGTGACGCGTTCCACGAGCAGGGCGACGCAGAGGCGAATATACACATCGACCTTGAACAAGACAAGCTTCAGTCCTGGAGCCCTGCATCTTCTACACAATATGTTGTTCTTCAACGAGCTTCAAGCGGCCAGTTTTACCAGGATTGACTGACTCGCCCGTCTGGGAGCTTCGTTTCATGTTCGGTACCCCAGCAAGATGGGTGGACTTTTTATGTACTGCTCTGTGATCAGTTGCGAGCAAGGCAGCAATAAGTTCCCAGAGCAGTTCGATCACTGATCGACGCTTAACGACCTCGTGTATTAGAATTCTGCTGCCCTGAAGTTTGTTAGGATTGATAAGGGACATTGCAACGATGAATAGCCACTGCCAGCGCCCGATCAATATGGCACAAGATGCGAAGCCTAATCAGTAGACAATGCTGATGAGCCCGAGTGAGAAAGAATCGTCGCCTCTTCGCGATTCACCTCGTGGCGTCACTAAGGATGCTTATCTGCCATAAAGCGACTACGTCCGAAGATCCTCACTGTGAGGACGGTGTCAAGCCGAAGTCATGGTGGACTATCTTTACGTTTCAGCGCAAGTCGTATTGATGAGCGTCTTGGATGTTCTGCTGATGGCTCTTCAGATTCGAGTATGATTCAAAGTTCGAGCGATCTCTGTGAACGCTACACAAAGAAACTTGTCAACACGTTCGGACATAGCACCTGGTGCGAGCTTCAACATCAAGGGTGGATCTAGAGGGTGAACTCAGAAGATGTCTACGATGTGCCATCTGACAGTCGCTTGCCATAAATAGATATAACCGCCAGCAGCCCTGTTGTACGGTTTATATATGCGTGTTCCCTTACGCAACCGCGACCCTCAGACTCAAGATTACTCTCTGCGCTATGCCTCCAAGAAAGCGTTCCTCCGCAGTTCATACGTTGTCGCCTGTATACATTGACCTTTCCCTAGCGCCAACGATCCAGAGGGCTTCTACCAAAGCCAACTGCTCCAGTAGCACTTGCAACAGTAGCCTCGAATCAGATCCATTGAACATATGCCGTCTCTAGCTTCCACGCGCTTCCCTACGAACGCCCTCACCACCGCGAAGAAAAAGAGCTCGACTACCATCAGTTACAGTCTTATCGAATCAGAAGTGACTTGGGTCGCATGCCCAGGTGCGATTAGGTCATTGACCTTCGATCTCGGTGGTCAGGACGACAACAAGCTTTGTCGAGGCAAAGCCACATCGAATTTGTTTTGATATTATGCTCGCACATTCGTTGAGCGTCATTCACGTCGCGCCAAAGGACAGGCTGGCCAAGGCTTCAGCACAGCCAAGAAGCGGAAAACAATCTCTGTCGCGAGCGTGGACGAAGCTATAGAGGCAGTACGAGAAAGCTCATAGAGGTTGCAGATTCGGTTCGACTTATTAAGCCTGTTATAGTTCGTCATAGGTCGTAGTATATAGTCGTGAAAATAGCACTTCTCTGTATAGCACCTTCGAAGAAATTATGGAACAAAGACAAATAGTACCTCCTAGCATTCATTAGCCTCTTTATGGTTCCAGTCGGATTGGGACTAGGACTGGTCTTGCTCATCGATCTTCGCCAGCGTCCCGTCCCGATTAGGATATACACGTGAACATCGCATCTTACAACGAGCTCGTGAGGGTTTTTTCTCATGAGAGTAACTCGTCTTTGTCTTCTCTTCGGGGACTGTATCTCTTACGCATGAGGTCACCGAGACTGTTGCCTCCTTCTATATCATGTTTAAGCCGCAGGACTTTAATTATTTATGCCATGCGACTTGAGGTCAGTCGATAACAGTATGTAGCCGGTCTTTCCGGCATGCATATATGCTGAGGTATAGTTGACGTGATGCGGAAAACCAAACCGGCATGCGAGAGCCCGTCTTCGCGACAATCATCCAGCCCGTAGCCGCCATTAATATACAGCATGCTCAGCAGATCTCTGCTTTCAACTGCCAACAACTACGACATGAGATTCCATAGCCCTCACATTATTCCATGTGCGTGTCACAGCGTAAAAGCTGCTAGTACAGCACAACAACAAACCCTAGCCTTGTCGACCCCAACTACAACTTGTACCATAACTTTCACTCGCACACGATTCACGATCGGGACGACAAAAGTGACAAAGACCAGACCACCCTTTTGGCAAACTACACGCCCGAGACGGATACCCAAGGCATGCGAAGTCTGCTGTTGGTTCAATAATGCTCGCTTAGAAGAACGTCTCGCCTGGCGCTGTTCCACGTCTTCCATTTCGCCTGGATTCATCGACTTCATCTTCCCAAGATGATTCATATTGTCAGTTCGATCTCATATCTGAGATGAATGACATACTAGGCCATTCATATCAGGCGGTCAGATCACATCCCCGCCTTGGTCCAGCCCACGATTGCAATGGTATACCGTGCCCTCATCTACCCGCTCAACGAGCACGTAAACCTTCACGCTCTCGGGGGAGTGATCGTTAACCTTGTGAGCTTTGGTAAAGACGGTCTTGTGTCGTTTCTTGACGCTCGACTACGAATTCTCAGCCATTTTTTATTCGCTCTCTCGAGTTGCCAATCTCGACCATTGATGATTTGTTGGTGGCGCGAGGACCATCACGCAACTCAGTGCCGAGCGTTGAGGCTCAGTGTATTACTCTTGCCTCGGGAGGGCATCACTAGAAGATCATCCGGGACCTCACGTCGACTAAACCGCAGAGTATCCCCTGCTGGGTGAATGGGCCGGAAGTATGTT